AGGCGAAAAAACACACATCACAGGTAACACCTGATGTAGCCAAACATCTGGTTAACATGTTAAAGAAACAACCAAGTTATGGGATTGGGGTCGTTGCTTGTTGGGGTGTTGCAGTGAAGGGTTTAGGCGGGTCAACGTACAACGTTGTTTTGGACAATATGAGTGTATGGAAGAACATGTACGCGGGTGACCTTCTCCCTGTTCCCGAACCATCTGACATAAATATAGGGGAAAATGTAACGAACGTGAAGATAATCCCACCGGCGACGCGCCAACAAGCATGCAGGCGTCGTAAAGTTCGGATCCCATCGACAGGTGACTTTAGTGTAAACTTCTTAATTCATATTAAGGTATATTATTCTATATGATATATGCGTACACAATGTTAACAAGATCCATATACAGGGGCATGGTAATGTGAAAAAGCCTAAGACCGTTGTAGCATCATCACTACTTTTCAGCTTTATCCACGTGGACACTGTTTGCTTCATTCGCTTCTATATTATTTCCCCAATTTCTTCTTATTTTAATAAGGTTTCGGCTCTATGTCTGTGTAATAAAAACCGAAACGAAACCAAAATTTTTTTGCCTCAATTTCAACAAGTTTACCAAAAAATGAGCGACGTCACACTACCTGATGATATCCTCCTCGACATCGTACGCCGAGTTGCTAGAGAGAACTTCCTTTTTCTTGGACCAATAATGGCGTCTGGCCGACGTGGACTCGTTGCGGTTCGTAACCAAATCGTACTTCGGCAAATTAATCTCGGGCATTTCATCGTAAACGGTGATCAGGTCCGAGTTAGCGCACCATATCGTGCCTTCTTCGTCCGTTGTTTAGAGAGTTGAAATGAAATAGTCATCTGCTAGAGAGCGTACGTGTAGCGTACAACGAAGGAAACGTTTATAAAGCCATCCACTTCATCAAATGTGCAGATATGACGTCACCCTTAACGGTGTTTATCTTAGGCATGTTGCAGATTTGCGGGGGTAGTTTCACTCAAGGGGATGAGACACTACGTGCTCTTCGTTAGTGGGAAGACGTTCACCAATTCAACTTTCTAGGGGCCATGGTGTATGGTATGGTTGAGAAATTGGACCCTCCTAGACGCCGCACTTTCTCGGTAACAATCAGATGTGACCAGACGGCTTGTGGCTGTGAGGGGGAATGGTTTGGGAGCTGCATGGGGTGTTGCGTATAATACAACGCGATGGAGTTGATGTCCCTCTCTTAGAAGTAAGGAATACGAAAATCCATGTTGTGTACGTGTCTACCTCATCGATGTACAACTGTTAGTGGTTTTAATTATCTGTCCAACGTCTATGTTATCGTTTGTGAAACTCTCTTTAATGTTTGTTCTTAATTAGTTTGTTGGTCGAAAAACTACTTTTTTTTAATTTTTTTTTGGTCGAAAAAAATACATTTTTTTTAATAATTAATTAACTATGATTTCCCTATAAAGTCTAAACTTGGTATTCATTTCCCTTACTAGGTTTACTTCATAACTTTCAATTAAATCCAATGTTGGAAGAGGTACATGACGATTTGTTGCTAGATATTATCAGAAGGGTTGGCCTATCAGATTTCAGGGACCTTGGAGGAGTCATAGGAGCAAATAGGAGATGCAGCTCGGTGGCCTTGTCGCCAGGTGTGTTGAAGGAAACTGACCTCTCGGAAGTTCTATGGTTGGGACACCACGTTGACCTAAACTCGCCTTATCAACCATTCTTGGCTCGGTGCATAGATGCGGGGAATCGCACATCAGTGCTAATGGAAGGGCTTCGGCTAGGTTTCACGGAGGGAAAGCTAGACGAAGCCATAGCTAGAGTGGAAACATGCAATGGAACGAGTTTGTACGTGGTGTACGTGTTAGGGATGCTGGAGATATGCAGAGGTGATTATGATGTTGGATGTACAACGTTGGGTCAACTAAAATGGTGGGAAGATATAGCTAAGTCTACCGAACTCGCTGAAATAATAAGACAGTCTATACTAGGCATGACTCCAAGAATGAACGGGACGTACAGGTACATGATGGAATTCCCTTGTCCAACATGCGATTGTGAGGGTGACGATATTGGTAAATGTAAGATATGTTTCGTGGTTTGGCATGCAATCACACTTTGTGCATTGTCCTAGTACGATACCAGTGTACAATTGATATAATGCATTTTTGGCGCATTCTAACATTTGTTTTATAGGTTTTTATCGAGTCTTTTGCTTTACTTTGAGTCATTTTATGTCAAAAGGAGGCTGGAATGGAGGATTGGAACTCACAATGGGATTTGGCGAAAAAGAGGGAAATTGGATCTTTTTGAAGATTCTGAAGAAAAGGAGCACCCGCTCCCGATCGCTAGACCTGCTCCGCAGAAGATCCAGTTTTGAAAATTTTTATTAAACCTATTTTTGCCACCTAGGATTTCCCTAATCAATCCCAGCCGCCCTAGACCCTTATTTTAGGATATTTTCGATCCTTTTTCAAGGGGAGAGACCCCGAACAACAGAAAAAAAGAGAACACAAGTGAGAAAGAGAGATCGATACTTTGTTTTTAGAGTTTTGTGAGATTGAAGATTATCTTCCA